AACCCAACGGGGGATCGCAAACCCCGTACCTCACAGACAGAACGCAAGCATCCTATCCACTCGATTGATCGACCTGTTTTCCGTTTTCCACGAATGGTCTCAAAGCATAAAACCGAACTTGCAAATATCTGTGGCCTTAGTACATTACTTTCCGGATCTTTCTGTTTGTTCGACGACGTTGAATGTGGGTTCTGTTACAATGAACACAATGAACAGGACACATTTCGGAAACACTGATACATAAAATAGTGATTCATGGATCAATCGATTGCAGGTCATCGTCTTGAGCATGATGTACTCTCACAAAATTTATTCCTTTTGTTAGTTTTGCTCATTTGGAAAGATTATATATTTTGCATAGGTCATAGATTTTGAAATATTTGCGATAAAGAACAAAGAGATCATCCACTGGGCAACAACTTATGGTTTTTGGTTGGATAATGATATCATTTATCACCAGGGAAGGGTTCATAACAGATCAAAACGATAGACCGCCATTCAGAAATGTCGCGGAGGTTTCTTAAATAATAAGGACCATTCGGTCACATGGGGGATACTTAATCAACTGGCTTGAAGTGCATCATACTCCTAGTAACGTGGATGGGGTTTGCGTCAACGTACACAAGTTCAATAAAAAATCCTTAGTGTGGACCTGAGTGGATAGGAAAAAGAGGAAGACGCTTTCACTCAATGCTTCTCGGTAACTAATCTCAAAACATTGCTTTAGGTATTAAACGTAACATATCAGCAATCTTGAGACCACCTGTCGCACTAGAAGGATGTACTGAAAACGGAAATTGGTAATCACGGGTAAATGAACGTTTTCTTAACAAAAATTCTTCAGAGAGAGGAACGAAAGCAACAACCAACCTTAAACGCATTACCGGGCGCTCACCGTCTAAGTGGAGTATTGATTGGTTGTGTGCAATATCGATCCTATCAGGGAAATGTTTTTTTTGGAAGTTGGAAGTACTAAAAGGTAAAGTGGATGTAATGTTTGTGCCACAATTACCCCCCCCCCTTGGACTAAACAGTCAAGTTATACTTTCTTGGACTGAATTTATTGAGAAACAATCGACAGCTTTCCACTGTCAAATGATTTTTCAAATTCCGTGGAGTCATGAAAAATATGAATCAGTCAAGCAGGGTGAAACGATGAGTAGCAACCCTTAAGTGTTGAAGATTTGCCATGAAGAAATAATGGTTCTGATGCCAATCGAACGAGTGTAGTAAACATGCTAATTAGATCAATCGCTCCTCAGAGTGCTTCCTAGCTTTTCAGTTCACGCTTCAGTTGCTATATACACTCCGAATTCCCATTTGAAATTTAATCAAATCCTCCGTTGGTCACATGAAATAAGTGAACAGGTTGTGAATGTTTCCAACTGGGTCATGACCATGGAGGCTAGTGCTGAGTTGAGCAGGGTCCATGGCTCGCAACAAGCTCGCAAAGATGGGTCATGCTCTATCGCATAAATGGAAAACCAAAAGCAGTCTGATCAGCTGCTCGGTGGTTTATTGAATAGCCTACTTGCGTTCCGCCCATGAAGTCCCGGGTTCGATCCCCATTTGGGTCGGTAGATTTACACTGCTCACGACACCCAACCAGATCGAAACAGCTGACAAGGCTTCTGAGCTTCTCAGTTCACGCTCCATGTGCTATATACACGACGAATTCCCATTTGAAATATATGTAACTGTTTGCTTAATTAGTATTAAAAGGGACTATTCAACCGTAACCAAGCCGTTTTACTTCTCCCGTCGTTTGATGCACTTGAACCCGGTGAAAATTTTAAATGCTATTTCATATATATTCCGCATTTTTCTTGTCTCTTCATTATTAGTCTAGTATTATTATCTGATAACCTTTTCCATAGAAATGACTCATATATTTCTTCTTTTATAACAGAGGATATAATTTCACAAACAGTAACATGTACAACCTGTCGTTTTTTTCCAGGACCGGTTATCACAAAGTTCACAGCGGTTTCACCAACAAGAACAGTCATTATGGCTGAAGTAATAACCAAGGGTCATTGTCCTTTGTTGTACAGCTTGGGTGGTGACGAGGTT